CAATAAAACCTATTATAAACGAGGCATTTGTTGCATCCAGTGGGGACATAATTACTGATTATAATGACTTATACTGTCTTTTTACGCGTTGCGTTGCATTGCGCCGCGTAAACATAAAACCCTGTCTGCATTTGTGATCAGAGAAATGACAAACAACAAGTGCTACTCTACTGCCCAAAACTCGCGTTTGAATCATCAGTGGCAAATCCTTTAAATGAAAACGTACTTACGTGAGTCAGAACTGCCGGCATTTTAGTCTAACGTTACTCTCCCAGGATCAGTAAACAGTCCTCCATAAAATGTGCTGCACACATCTGAATATTTGGGTTGAAGTGTTCTGGAACAGTGTTGTAAATACAACTTAACCACTGATTTCTAGTCGTGTCCATTTTTGGAAGGCCAAACAAAGTAGTTTCGCTTTCACAACGAAAAACACAGCGGCCTAGCGTGAGCGAAAGCCCCGGCTTAGTCTGAGCTGAAGCCGGGCAAGAGTGAGCTGAGGTGGCGGGATCGAGAACGGCGGTCCCGGCGGATCCGATGAAGGAGCGGTGAAAACGGTGAAAGCCGATCCGGTGATCCACAGCACTAAGTTGATGTATTTCCTCAGCGACCAGCACAGATCAGCTCTAGGTATGACGAAGCGGATATCGTCCTCTTTTGAAAGTAGTTTCGCTTTCACAACGAAACACACAGCGTCTCGACATGGCGGCATCAATACTACAGCGAGAATAAAAGTTATGCCTTCTTTCTTTGCGTGAACATTTGGGCGGCGTAATGCAAATCTTCCCACATAGTGAGGTAGATATGTGGGGGCGTGTTAGAACGAGCCGTTTTAGGTAGGCGTGGTTAACTCTTAACTTTTATAAAGAATATCTCTTTGGATTTGAGACTTTAGTCTTTGCAACTTTACAGATCTTCTTTATGCACCAAGACCTTGTAACACTCCAAAGAGAAAGGAAAAATTGAAATCGCATCATATGACCCCTTTAAAAGGTGTTGATGTGTAAATGTGACGTCATACACTGTTGTTCAAAAGTTTGAGGTCAGTAAGATTTTTTTTTTTCTAAAATGAAATGAATATTTTTATTCAGCAAGGATGCATTAAATTGATCAAGTGACAGTAAAGACATTTAACATGTTAAAAAGAAATCTATTTCAAACTTCCTACTTTATCACACAATCCTCAACAAAAAAAATTCACAGTTTCCACAAAAATATAAAACATTAATAATAAGAAGTGTTTCTTGAGCAGCAAATCAACATATTAGAATGATTTCTGAAGGCTCCCGTGACACAAAAGACTGGAGTAATGATGCTGAAAATTCAGCTTTATTACAGGAATAAATTACATTTTAAAATGTATTAAAATAGAAAACAGTTATTTTAAATTGTAATCTTATTTCACAATATTACACAGTAAGAGTACACAATAAGATTCTTCAAAAACATCAACAAATTTTACCACAAACTTTTGAACGTTAGTGCATATTAATAGTTTCTGTTTTTTATGTCAGGAACTTGTATGTATATGTATACTATGTATATTTAGTATGTCAAACTCTGACTTTACAAGATTAAGGAAAATCTGATTTCTTATGGCACCTTTAAGAGTTTCTACTTGTTTAAAATCATTTTTATTCCACAGTATGGCTTTGAATTATAACGTAGGCCTTCGTGAGATGAATTGAGTACAGTTTAGTGTTTTGTGTTATATAGTTCAGTGCAGTTTAATTTAGCTTTAAATAGTCAACAGAAGCTCTTGTTTGCTTGTGAAGATCCAAAGCAGTCTCACTGCTATAATTTTAAAGGCCATCTGATTTCTGTCCAACTTTTTTTTTCTATTTACCACAGCAGATCAGACACCCCAAAACTCCCCTCTGTGCATTCTTCTGAGGGAAAGAGGAGGGTGGTTAATGCTTTAAGCAGACTGCATTCCTTTAGGCAGGAGCATTAGCAGATTGGTCCTATTGGTCTGAAGCCGAGCCAGTGTCCTGAGTACCTTCACTCTGCCTCTGTTTCTGACTGCACTTATTGCTAACAGCTGGCCTCCTTTCAGCCTCAATATACCTCACAATGTTTTTCATGTGTGAAGAACAGATTCTGAAAGAACCCAGAGGACTGCTTTTTTTGCCATTACCTTCTATTACCTTATGTGGAAACGGAAACAGACATTTTAGTCCTATTTAATGTATTTTTATAACTTAAAAATATTGTCATTGAGGTAAGAAATAAGCACAGCTGAGTTGATATATTTGTGAATATCTATGCTGTATAAGGATCATGAAAAATAAATATGTTTGATATGAAGTTTATTTAATAAAGTATACACTACTGGTCAAACATTTGAAATAATAAAGTTTTTTTTTTTATAATTTAAAATAACTGTTTTCTATTCGAATATATTTTAAAATTGCATTCCTGTGATGGAATTTTCAGCAGAATTTTCATTCTAACCTGCTGATTTGTTGCTCAATTAATATGAATTTTTCTTGGTGCTAACTCCAAACTTCTTAGTGTGTCACGATTTCCACAAAAATGTTAAGCAGCAATTGTTTTTTAACATTGATAAAGATAAGAAATGTTCTTTGAGCAGCAAATCAAAGCATATTATTATGATTTCTGAAGGATCATGTGACACTGAAGCCTGGAGTAATGATGCTGAAAATTCAGCTTTTCATCACAGGAATAAAATACTTTTAAAATTATATTCAAATAGAAAATAGTTATTGTAAATTATGATACTTTTTCGCAATATTACAGTTTTACTGTATTTTTGATAAAATAAATGCAGTCCTGGTGAGCATAAGAGACTTCTCGATCTTTATTATTCCAAACCTCTTACCTGTAGTGTGCATATGCCCCAAATTGACAGCATTGTTAATAATATGAAGCATCTGTGTTATGACACTATTTATTACCTTCTCTCCCGGCTGAGGTCTCATCACAGACACGCGGTCATATCCTCTCCTAAGCCACACCCACAAGGCATCCAGTTTCCCCTGGAAGATCCAAACACAAACACTCAATCAGCGGCTCAAGGAGATCAACACTTCAGAGCACACTGGTGCCAAACACTTCATCAACAATGCAAGCATCATTGCCAGGAGAATCTGTAATTGACTACACAGAGCAGTTCAGAGAGACAGAGCCCTAAGGTACTCATCTTTAGAATTTCATTTTATGCAGGTTGTTAAATGATGAGTTTCCAGTTTCCTGTCTGGATCAAAGAAATATAATAAGCTGGCAGAACAGTGTCAGTTCCTAAAATTGGAATTTAGTGGATCAGACATCTGACTCCAGTTCTTCACTGTGTATTTTCAATTCAATGAATATTAACGTTTCTCATTATTTGGGTGTACAAATAACTGCTTAAGGCATAGCAGACAGTATATTCATATAGTACCTGTGACTTTTCTTATTATTTTCTTATTATAGGTATTGAGTGGCACATAAAATGAAATCAATTATTAATGTATTCGAAAATAATAATAATAAAATATTATCAAGACATTTAAAGCTGTTTATTTAACTTTTTAACGTTTTAAATAATTTAGTTTAATGTAACAATAAACAAAAAATTAACTAAAACCAATTTATGAGTATTAAATATAGATACATCTCCCGTGACATTTGCATTCATTGGTGGCCAAAGTGTGTCAAAGTTCATTGGTTAATTTCACATATGAAGTGTCCAGTGGCATTTTTCAAGTGCATAATGGAAAATCAACTGGAAATCAACTAAAATCATTGAAATTCTATGCATAATGTTTTTTATTATTGTTACTTTTAACTACCATTTTAATCATTAATTAAATAAACGACATATTTCTATTTATTTGACATTTTTTAATTAATACGTTGATTTTAAATGGTACTCCGAGCCACATAGTAATAACTAAATGAGGATTTCTGTATATTTTGTAGAAATTTCTTAGAGATGCTGGGATGGATTTCCATTTATTTCACACCTACATTAAACTTAACGGATTTAAAGAGTTATATTTTTAGTAAACAAATGTGTCCAGTATGAAAAACAACATTGAAATATTTCAGTGTAGCTCAACAGAATATTAACTGTTGAAACCACCAATCACTCGCTGAGGTAAATAACTTTGTCCCTTAGAAGTTATTGGTAACATTTGCCACACACGGACCTGGATAACATCTCACTTCATTTCTTGAAAAATTGTTGGCTTAAATGGAGACTTTACTGAGAGCAAACATCTTGCTGAATCTGGGTTGAATACACACAGAACTTTCTCTTTGTTTTTCTCAACCTGTATATGTGTTTAATTTCTGCCTCTCAGAGTGGACTGTCACCTAGCATAATCCAGAGGAAAGAAGGTGGAAGAGAAAGAGAAAAGGAGTTTGTTTTGTTAGGAAATGGACCAGCTCTGCAAAGCTCATCTCCCTTGGGTCAGCTCAGTTCAGAGTCTGGTTTAAATTAACCCTCCCCTCCCATCTGACAGAGACATTACGAAACAATGCAAGAACCGCTTCCTGGACTGACTGAGGCCACCACAACAGCACACGCCGCTTCTTCTGAGCTCCTTCCAGTCTTCCAATGAATTATCACGTCATTCGTTGTCCATCAGATGACCATACCGTAAGCATGACACCGTACTGGGTCTTCTATAGCTGCTGTGTAATGTGTTTTTGTGAGGACACACTGGCATATGAACATTTCCTGGCTTACTTTGTATTAATTCAAAACCTTTTACGATGCCATCCCTGGCCAAATTATACCAGCATGAATTTTCCTTCTGGTTCAGGCTGGGTAGAGCTGCTTTGCTTCTGGTCGCTGGTTTGCCAGCAATGCCATGCTGTTCACCAGTAAAACATGGTGAATTAAGAATTGAAAAATTCACTTTATTAAATTTTATATTAGAAAAATAAAAGAAAAAAGTGTTAATTTGTAATTTTTTGTGAATTAATTTAAGTCTTGTTGGTTAAGCTAGTTAAAAAAGCCTCAAGGGGCCACCATCTAACCAGCATCTAGGGGGTATAACAATACATCAGTATGTATCGATGCTTTGATCAAATGACTAATGATATGATTTCTCAATGCAACACACAAAAAAACCCCACATATTTCATATATCTATAATGTATATTAGAAGACTTTATTTAGAATGTTATAAAAAGACAAAATTGCCACAAAACTGTCATCAAATATAAGATAAGATATAAGATCATTTTTAACAACTTTATTTTTTAAATTCATTTTTAATATTTTTTTGTATATCTCTCATTTTTTTCTGTATTTTTTCAACAACTAGAATGTCATTTTGTTTTGTATATCCTACATTGAAAAAACAAAAAAAAATTGCTTGTAAAATGTTTTAATCTAGAAAGACTTAAAGTATACTCTTATTAAATGTACTCCAATAATCTTTGTTTTATTTACAACTTTGAAAAATTGACTATATTAAAACTGACATAACTATATTACTGCACCATCCAATGAAGAGCTGACGATTAATAATCTCATGTGTGACTTGATTTCCCCCCCCCTGTTGTGGATGTTTTTACAGAATTTGCAATATTCCAATTCAGGTTCAATTAAATGTTCATGTTAAATTTTAGTTGCATTTTTGAGTTAAAAAATGTAACTAGTTGTATAAAACAGACACACAAAATCATAATATGAATATATCAATTGCAGGCCCCTGAATCTAATCAAATCGTAATGGTTTTATCTTGAGGTATTGGTAAATATCGTATTGCTCGCTAAGAGAATCGATGAAAGCACTGGCTGAAGCATAACAAACAATGCCCCCAAAATGCGTTTGAACATTTAAAATATCTAAATGTCATGCATCTGTTGTTTATATGCTTAATGTGGTGAACTAAACATGTGGTTCCTCTTCTAGGCCCCCTGAAGATAAACTGATCTACCTTGATTGGGGAGTACCACTTCTGAGGGGAGATGGGTTTCCGCATTCCATTATTTAGGGTATGTGTGGACGGAAACTCAAACTCTTGCTCTGGCATCTTCACCCGAGCATTCTTTGCCTTCTCCAGTTTGGCTCCTTCTTCAGTGGATCCCTTATCTCCCCAGCGCACCTGCACACACACATACACATTCATAGCATCATTGCAGTGGTCCGGAGCGAATGGAAGCTGTTCTTTTCTTTCCTAACACCCTTGCCTTACTTCCATCCTTTTAATGCCACCAACTCCTCTCCCACCGTAATACGAGGCGTCCACTGTCGGCCATTTCTTCTTTGGGTAGGCTTCATCCTCTTCATCCTTCAGAGCAAGACAGTCTTAAGTTAACATGAATTATTCATTGAGAAACCTGTAGAGCGGGTCTTATTAATCCAGAATTGATTGGATTGCAATTCTATGCCAAGTTCCATTAGTTTTAAATTGTCACTAAAAAACATCTACAATAATATAATGAAATATTTACTATTGCTTACAAAATAGGAGGATGGAAAAAGATGCTTTGGCTCATGCTAACCAGCCAAACTGACCCTGTTATTATTACGCATTAGAGAGATGATTTGAAGTGTTTGGAAGAGCTGATTACATATGAATGCATCCTTTGTTTAATTTAATTATGCTCAAGGGTGCTCAAGAACGAAGTCATTATTTATTCTCATGAAAACAATCTAACAATAATTCTTTCCAAGCACGGACAGGAAATGATGTCAGCCTATACCTTCCAGTCATCTATCTGGATTTCATAGCTCGTAAGAAATCAGACCGAATCGGGTTTCCATATGTTCCCCCACAGTCTGACTGCAACAGTTTAAATGAGCTCGGGAGAAATAACTTTCTTAGACGAACTTTTAGCATGAGCTTGACTTATTGATTTTTATTTTGAGTACTACCCAAGATATCTTCTGCAGAAACAGAAACAATATGAAGTCTGATGAGGATTCTTGCTAATGATCCAGCACTGTCTTTAAGGTTTAAAACAAGTGTTTAAATTTTAATGTTCAATTTATCAAAATACTACATTAATATCTAATTTAAATGCAGCTTTAAACTGCATTTTAATTCTGCTTCCATGTATGAACTGTAATGACTTTATTGACGAATGGATAATAAGAAGCATCTTGCAAAAGGATAAAGGAAAAAAAAAAAAAGATTTATAAAACTGCAGTTTGAATGTTGCATTTGAAAATTATTGATCAATTTATTGTTACATTTTAAAACATTCTTAAGCATGGTTTAAGTTTAGGGTTGGTAAGATTTTATTAAATGGTTTTGAAAGAAGTCTCTTATGCTCATCAAGGCCGCATTTATTTGATCAAAAATACAGTAAAAACTGTAATATTGTATTATTACAATTTAAAATAATTGTTGTCTATTTTAATATATTTTAAAATAAATGTATTCCTGTGACGCGAAGCTGAATTTTCAGCATCATTTCTCCAGTCTTCAGTATCACATAAACCTTCAGAAATCATTCTAATATACTGATTTGATTCTCAAGAATTATTTATTATTATTATCAATGCTGAAAACAGTTGTGCTGGTTAATATTTTTGTGGAATATGGAATATTTTTGAAACCATCATGACCCATCTCTAGTACTGTACAGCACAGTTGATCTTTCTGAAGTAAAGTTCAGATATAAATTTTAATGCGATGAGCCCTGCGGGCAGTTTGTACTTCCATTGCAGACTGTTACCTCAGACACTGCAAGACCTGCTTTAAGCGTATGGAATTTCCTGTTTTGAAGGAGCAATCGGAGACTTGGATTGAGGAAGAGCTACTACGTGTCCAAGTTGAAATGTGCTATGGACAATTCAATTGTTCTCAAAAATTCATAAAGTTTGAGAGGCAGTACAAAAATTCCTCAACAGTGGAACTGTTCTTTGTCTTTTCGTCTCCAGATTTCTCCAGATTCGTCTCCTTACTTTTATCCTAGTCAAAAAAGGGTACAAATCGCTACAATTCGTCTACATTACAGAGTGGATTTTCGGATGAAATTCGAGATCTTAAATCACATAATTTTCTGACACTCTCCGTCTTTTGTCATTATCAGTTTGGCACCCGTGGCCACATCTGTGAAAACTTTGCTGAGCAAATGTTTGGAACAAATGTCAGTTGGCGTCTGCTCACAAGCAAAACCCTCTGAATAAAACTTGAAGGAAAAAGGTTCCATGATGATAACAAAAACACTGCTGATCCTACCAAGACACCAAGGCGTAGCATTGAAAATCTACATTAAATTTGAATGATTATTTGCTAGAAATCTACCTCTCCACTTCAGTTCCAGCTATTCAAAATGTGATTTGAGAGCTACGGCAGAGGGGAAGATTTTCATAGAATAATGACTATATAGGTCTGTTTCAAAAGGTTATCATACGGCTACAGATGACTTAGAATGTAGTGTACAAGTCATATGGACTATGTATTATTTTTACTGTGCTTTTTAAATCATATTTAGAGCTTAATAGCTCCAGGTAGTGCTGGGCGGTATACCGGTTCATACCGAATACTGGTGTTTATTTTTGTTATGATATTAATTTTTAAAATACCGCGCAATACATATGAAGTATGTCGCTTAAACAACGTTCGGAACGCGACACTTTTTGAAAGGGGTCCCTTTTCACTGTTGCACTGTGGTGAGGGAACAGCTGTATGTGTTACTAAGGGTGAAAATTCCGAAACTGAAGCTGTAGAACTAATAAAACGTGATGACACAGAAAAACTCATCCACAATATCCACATTGACCGCCACAAATATCCACCGCCCCCTGCCATCAGCTCCCGCGTCTCACACACACGAGCGCGACTTTAGTGTAGATGCATGCTGATTTTATCAGACGATGCTGCGATTATAAATGAGAGTGACTCCTGGTTAAC